CCGACTCCCATGAGCCCTCAGGTCTTCCCCTAATATCCTCCTGTCCTGACCTGGAAGGTAGGACCAGGGACGGACACCACGGGGCCCTAGGCTGTGAGCTCTCAGGGCCAAGAGACATAACTAGTCATCTTTATAAACCTTCCCTGATGCTCTGCCTGGTCCAAGCCAGTGTGGGCCAACGTGCGTGTGCGCACGTGGGTGCACTCTTGTCAAGCTGAAGTGTGAGCTTCTGGGGAAATCCGGTCTAGCCTCTCAAACCAACGTTTTTTCTGAGCTCCCAGAGCTCACCCCCACACCAGCTGGGGACTTCCTTCAACTCCATAGCTGCACTCAGGATTCTGCTCAGTAATTAAGCATGGGAACATCCTCCTGCCTGGCTCTGAATTCCATGAGGGCAGGGGCCATGCCCAGTTTATCTTGGGTCAGGGCCAACATACACCCTCATCTTCCAGGGCCAGTATTAACTTATATTTATTGTTCTAGTGGATGATAAATGATTTGGCCACTGATCTTTGTGATCTCCTTGTCCCACCTGTTAGATAGTGCTGGATACAAGGGGACAGTGTGGTGGGATGGCCGAGCCTGCTGTCCTGGTGTCATGGTTTGAATCCCAGGTCCATCCCACCAATCACAAACCCCTCCCTGAAGTCTCAGTTGCCTCATTTAGACCCACAGAGAAATCAAGCTGGAACTGCAGTGAGGTTCAGTGAAGCAATATACTTAGTACTGTACCAGGTGCTTAGTAACACTTCTCACAGATGTTAACAGAATAAGAAAAAAAGGTGTGTGGGGGGAGAACTAGAACCTGAAAACAGTCTTCTTATACCCTGGGCATTGGGAGTGGGAGGAATGGGGAAATTTGTTATCTGTTCTCACTTCTCACTCTTACTCTGCTCACAACAGTAAATACCTAAAACCATGGAAGTTTAAGGAATTAAAAACTTAGGAGCTGAGTTATAGCCTGGGTGTGTTGTACTCTTCTTAGAGTCACTATTACAGAAGAGCCAAAAGCTTTGGCAGGAGACACAGAAACCCTCTCAGAGATAATGATTGTCTCCTTCTTACCCAGAAATCCTGGAAAATTCTGGAATATGGTAGCCAGCTTGAGGCACACCAGAGATCTCTGTTTCCAGGGCATTAGGATGGCATCAGATGACTGTCAATCCAGACCTATGTCCAGCCCTGACAGATGGCCCTGAACCAAGGTTCCTGGCCTGCACGGCTCCATCCCCTTGGAGCACACTGTGGAGATTTCAGAACAGGAAGAGACCGACCAACAGCAGGGAAGGAGAGCAGAGATTGTGAGGGCACCTGGGCCAAACCCAGGGTCTGGAAGTAGGGTTGTTCTTTTTAACAGCAGCGTGCTTGCCACAGCAATGGAATCATTGCAGGCCAGTGGCTACAGTCCTCTGGTTTGTTTTCTTTGAGAGCCACAAAGGGGACATTGAGAGTAAAGTGAACTGAGAATCTTAACTCATAATGACTAAGAGAGAAAATGTGAAAAATGGCAGAGTGGAGTTTCCATGGCAATCTATAGACATATGCATCAGGGGGGCAGGGACTAGATGCTTTTATTTGCCATTGTATACTCAGCACGGGGCACCATGCCTGGTGACAATTATTTGTTGATGGAAAGAATAAGTGAAAATTGATGAATAAATTGAAGAATGAGTCTTGTTCACATTTTGTCAATATTTTCACTCAAGAAGGGAAGATTCTAGAAGAAATCAAGTTTCTGATCAAGTGTCTGGGTTCCTGGGGGCCACAAATAACCTCAAGGATAATTTGAAGTGACATCTACTTTGACAAAGGAAAACAGCCTGAGGATAACTGTGTGTCCCCACCCCCACCGCCCCTGGCCTGTGTCCTGTGTGAGACACACACAGGCCTCTGAACCTTCTTGTGCATGGTTGGAGTGTGTCTCTCCCTGCTCCCCTTCCTGCTAGTTGTTAAGCTATTGTTCCCTATCTCCACACTCACCAGGCAGGGATCCTTCAACATGGGGGGCCTCAGAGACTCTGCAGCAGCCTCTGCACAAATCCTAATTTCAGCTCCACAGAACTCTGGTCTTTGCTTCCATCTTAATGATCCCACTTTCTTCCCTCAGTCCTCAGTCCCAGGAGGTAGTGGAGTCCTGCAATTCTACCTCCAGGATACCTCAGAGTTTTCTTTTACAACGCAGCTGCTGGCTTCTAGCTAAGCTAACACCTTTCCATATTCAGCCCTCTCTGACCAGACCCTGGCAAGGTATTCACTGGGGTCTTCAGATGTTCCACAGTTGGCCCATTTCTTCCCTAACATTCCCCCTGAACCCTTCCCCACCCATATTCCCATCCTGAACTGAGGTTTGGGGCAGACACTGTTCCCTTCCTCCCTATGGCCAGTCTTCCTCCCATGGCTGACTGGCTCAGTCTTTCTAATCTCAGCTCTCTCCAGCCCTCCCTCCTCCCCTCCCTTGTCCCACTTATCAGCTCCTTAAGTCACTGGCAGGACTCTGCAAGGCTGTGGTAAAGTGCACTGTTTATAGTTACATACTCACTCCTCACCCCCTCCCAGATAAATTGCACTGAGGCCGGGTGCCATTTATACGTTTGCTCTTGGAGTTCTCTGGTCTCCTGTGGCTCCTGGGATTTTGGCAATGTTACTTCATATTGCTCTAGGTGTTAAAATATACTTCAGATTTCCCCATCTACCAAAAAAGCCAGTCCAAGGGGTTAGTGTCTCATGCTTTTAGGTCCCTAGTACATCCCAACCCCAAGTCTGCTAACTGAAGAGGCTCAGAATATATATTCATTGAATCTAAGACGCCACCAGTTGTAAGATGAGCTGTCATTTTTCTGTACCACGAAGAAAGAAAAACATGTTTGGTTAAAGTAACTTGATTGTGAGCTGCCTCCCAGTTTTGGAATTGTCAAAATGTGAAAACCCAATGTGCCTCCTGGAATCAATGGAATAGCAATCCCTGGGCTGGGGAGCTAGTGGAGGGCATTCTTGTTTTCCTTTGATCTTGTTCTGCAGGACTTAGGGTTCTCCCTGCTATGTAGGGTGGATACTCCAGAAGATGGTGGACTGGGCTGACGAGTGTGAAAACCAGGGGAGTGGGGACAGGGATGGGCATGCAGTAGATTCATCTGTGTGTGTGTGTGTGTGTGTGTGTGTGTGTGTGTGGTAGGGGCATATTTTAATGTGGCCAGGGACAGAGCAGCATGTCATCCTGTGAAGGGCACATGTCACAGGCTCACAGAGGAGTCACACAGATAAACACTGCTTCGGGGCTAAAAGGCAACGCAGAACGCTCTCCTCCCCCCACTGCACCCCAAGCTTCCAATCTGTTCACTTGCTCCACATCTCACTTCTAGGACACAGACGGTAACACGTTACCTTTTGCCTTTTCCGCAGGGTCCAGTTCTTCCAGAGCAATAGTCGTATCTGTCCGGCGAAGCCCGTGCTGGTGACCACCCAAGGACAAGGGGATGGCGTGGAGCAGAGGCTAACAGGTCAGGGTCAGGTTTCGGGTTAGCGATGGACATGCACCTTCAGGCTGGTGTGTCCTTCTGTTGGTGATTAAAGGCTAGTTTTCCTCTCCAAACATAATCCCTTTTAATTCCACCTAAGCCCTTTGTTGGGGAGAGGAGGCAGATACCATGCTTGGTTCCTTTTTAGGAAGAGAAAATGAACACTAAAGACACATGTGATTGGGCACTGAGTGGGGACATTTGATGGGAACCAAGTGCCTTGGAGATGTCCTTCATCGGGGGCCTCTTGGATTCTGGAGGGGACCACCTCTGGATATATTTGGCCTTTAAGTTTGGGACAAGATCTCCTTGTGTAACTATAGGTTGGGCATTTAAGTTCATCAATTCACTTGCCAGAGTTGAAGTGACTTCTTTCTTTCTTTTTTATAATAAATAAGTAAAAATTATTTTTAAGGTGTAGTTGGACACAATACCTTTATTTAATTTATTTATTTTTATATGGTGCTGAAGATTGAACCTCACACGTGCTAGGCGAGCGCCCTGCTGCTGAGCCACAACCCCAGCCCCTTCTTTCTTTTTTAACCCTTATCTTTCTCAGAGTGACTTTAGGCCAGCTGATTAATTAGTCATGGCTGCCCAGAGCCATGTTGACAAAAGCCCTGGTCCCCTCCAGAGTCCACAGTTGATTAGCAATGTCCGCACAGGTGTGGGTATGAGGAAGGGCCAGGTCTTGTCATTCTAGTGTGGCACAGGGGTGTTGGTGGATAGGTTCATCAGGTGGCTGGGTACCTGACTCCAAGAGACACCTCAAACAGAAGCCTCCCAGGTACGTCCCCATGGACATTTTATGTTTACCTCCTCAAATCTCAGGCTTTTTTCTAGACCCTTGAAACCTCAAAGGGATAGAAGAAGAAACAAAATAGGAATGGATGCTGAGTTCATGAAATTTGTGGTCAGGTCGTAAACATGAAACATGAACTTCGATAAATTAAGGTGCATATGACAGAAATCATAAAGGCCTGTGGGCTATTGGGTGGAGCTTCCAAGGAGAGACAGATGGATTCTCCTTAAGTTATTTAAAAGGATCCTTGGTGGTGGTAGCATTTAAAATAGGCTTTGGTGCACTACAAAATAACATTTTATAGTAATATAGGATTTCCAAACTGCTTTTGTGTATTTTATTTTATCCTCCCTACAATTTTGTGAAGCAGATATCTGCTCTGTTTCACTGATGAGAAACTTGAAGCCTAGTGAGATGAAGTACTGGGTGCGGGGTCACATATGATAACCTGAGTTCTTGAACAAATCAGTCATTTAAAATCTCTGCAAAGCCTGGGAGACAGAAATAGCTTATTCTGCCAGGAAAACCAAAAGAAGTGAAGCATGGCTGGAGTGAAGGGGATGGAGGGAAGATGCTAGAAGAGGCTAGAAAGGGGGGAAAGGCTGAAAAGCATCATGATGTTGATGAGGAAGATGGTGATTTACTCAACCAAGATTTACCGAGCATATCTGGAATGATCTCTGGGTGACCCACAAGTGGAGGTCAGGGCACCCCAAACAGAAGCAAGCTCTGTGCAGAACCAAGACCTTGCTGCATGTTAAAGAGTATGGGCTTTTTGCAGGAAGAGATGAAAGATTTTAATCCAAGACTAGTCAGTTTGCTCTGGCATCAGTGTAGGGGTACATGGGGTGAAGGGGGAGAGTACAGAATCTGAGCAAAGGCAGTGATAGCCATGATGGAGAGAAGGGGAGGGATGAGGGTGACAGGCAGGAAAGAGACACAGCATGCCGACTGACATGTTAGAAGTGGGTGGTGAAGAAGGAGAAGCCAACTAGAGGGACTGGGGCTTGGGCCCTGGCTGGCAGGACAATGAAAGGAGACAGTCGTGCTCTAGAGGGAGGAGTGACAGAGGAGGGCCAGAAGGGGCTGGATAAGGAGGTGGGGGAGAAGAGAGGTTTGCATCTGACATGTTGAAGTCCCTACAATGACATCTGAGTGGAGAGATTCAGCAAGCAGCTGAGTTCTGGAGTTAGAACAAGCTTCTAGGGTGGAGACAGATTTGGGAATCATCAGCATATAGGTGGAAGATGAAGCCCTGGGACTGATTGGCAGGTCACCCAGGAAGGATGCTCAGAGAGTGTGTGAGGTCACACACAGCAGGCAGCTACGGATGGTGAAGGAATATGTTTCCTCCAAATTCCCAAAGGGAAGAAAAAGTTGTGGCCACCAGATATCTGTTATGTAATGGTGTTCTATCATAATTTATAAGTGGCCCACTTTTGATTTAGAAAAGAAAAAATTCAGTGAGCAGTTTGTTATTATTCAATTTGTGATTCTCTGATAGCATTATTCCAGCTAATTGGTGTTCATGCCTGAATAAAGTTTTGTTGATGTTGATGCTTCCTCTTTCTTCATTATAAAATATGCATAACACAAAATTCACTATTTCAATTATTTTAAGTATACAGTTAAGTAGTGTTAAGAGAATTCGTATTGTATAATCAGCACAACCATGCATCCCCAGAGCATTTTAATACTAAAACTCCACACCCCTTAAACACTAACTCCTCATTGCCACCTCTCTTCAGCCTCTGGAAATCATCATTCTACTTCCTGTTCCTGTGAATTTGACTGTTTTAGGTACCTCATATAAATAGGAGCTTAAGATACTTGTCCTTTTATGTCTGACTTATTTCAGTAAGAGGTTCATTCATGTTGTAGCATGTTGTCTTATTTCATTCAGGCTACTATAACAAAATACCACAAATCTAGATATCTTATAACCAACAGAAATCTATTTCTCACAATTCTAGAAGCTGGGAAGTCCAGGATCAAGATTCTGGCAGATTCAACGTTTAGAAAAGGCCCACCTTCTGGTTCATAGACAGTGTCTTCTAGTTGTGCACTCACGTGAGGGAATGAGTAAGGGCTCTCTCTTGGGCCTCTTTTATAAGGGCATTGATCCCATTAATGAGAGCTTTGCCCTAATGATCTGATCACTTCCCAAATGTTCCACATCCTAATACCGTAGCTTTGGGGGTTAGGTTTCAACCTATGAATTTTAAAGGATACTACATTCAAACACCCTTTCAAATTTCTTTTTTTTTTTTGAACGTGAGATTCTACTTTGTTGTATGTGTATATCATTTTGTTTTTTCATTCATTCTTCCATCGTCATTTGGGTTGTTTCCACCTTTCAACTCTTGTGAAAAATGCTGCTATGAACATGGGTGTGCACATATTTGTTTTAGTCTCTGCTTTCAGTTCTTTTAGGCATGTACCAGGAGTGGAATTATTGGATCAAATGGGGAATTACCATACTGTGTGCCATAGCACCTGCACTATTGACATTTCTGTGCCCTGTGCACAGGTATTGTAGTTTCTCCCTGTCTTGGCCAACACTTGTTCTGCTTTGTTTCAGTTTTGTTTTATAACAGCTATCCTCATGAGTGTGAAATGGCATCTCATTGTGGTTTTGATTTGTATTTCTGTATGTTGAAGACACTCTTCCAATATTGTATCTGTATATAGGTGTGATAATTCCCCTCTCTCTGGTAACCAGTTTAAAAATATTATGTCAAAATAAAAATCTGCATTCTCAGTTTTCTCAAATATTTCTGAGAGTTTGTCTAGTTGGTCCAGGATGCTACTGATGATGCCTGTACAATTCATTCTCATAATTACTGCTATGAACACCAGTTGACCTGAAACCTACAGAAATGTAGAGAAAGCAGTGGTTTCAAGGTCTGGCTCTGCATATGGATTAAATAATACAAAGTGAAGCCATGGACCACATCAACCCATATTTGTCTTTGTAAGTATAAATAAATCAAGACAAATGGTGAAGTTTTAAAAGTCTTGTTCCTACTTCTGAGGTTGAAATGTAGTATTCCAAAAGAAGAGGCAATCTGTTATTTATATTAGTTACTTTGCCACCCAAAGTTCCATAACGGAGAGAGGTAAGTTATAATTTCAAAAAGTTTCTATTTGGAATCTGGGCACAGTGGTACATGCCTGTAATCCTAGCAACTCAGGAGGTTGAGGCAAGAGGACTGCACATTTGAGGCAGATCATGGCAACTCAGAGATAAAATAAATATGGTTGGGGATGTAACTCATTCTGAAGTGCCCTAGATTCAATCCTCACTACCTCTCCTACAAAAAGTTTCTACTGGAAAAAAAAAAGCTCTGGAAATTGCATAAGTAAAATGAATTAGAAATTATTGTAATTTTGGAGTGGAGATAAATTTGATAATGAAATGTACCCTTACCAGATATCAATTTTACAAGCACTTTGAACTTGGATTTCCCAGCCTCCAGAAGTGAGAAATAAATTTGTTGTTTATAAGGTATTCCGTTTATAGTATTGAGTTATAGCAGCCTCAATGAATTAAGACAACGGGCTGGGTACAGCATGTATGAATTGTAATATCAATAGATCACCATCAGTCCATTTGAAACAAACCGAGGAAAATAGAATGTCTTCAAATATATTATTGAACATATTATTTTTAAAAAATAGTGATGATAGGTCAGATGGGAGAGCATTATGAATATACGTCATGAGCACATATAAAGCAGTTTGGGGACACCATATTGTAAGATAGAGGCAAAATATCTTGATGTTTAAGTTAGCATTTATTTCTACCAAAACTAAATTACTGAGCAATAAAAACATGAAATTGTTTCAATCATCATCAGTAACTTAAGTGTTTCCTCAACTTATTCAATATTTAATGAGATAACAGTTCAATAAAAACATAAGCACTAATTTACTAAAGTTATGCATTACAAAAAAAAAAAATCCAAGATTGCATAGAAGCTGACAGCAGATGGGCTTCCCAGTTTACAAAGGTTTATTTTTTGTGGGGAGTGACCCTAATGTCAAAGGAAAGGTCTACAATAAGCTTGTTAAGACCATAGATCCCTGTATCTGGACATGGTTGATTGGTCATATGTGGTCACATGATATTAGCAAGCCAATGAGAGTATGTTCACAGAATTTTTGACTGTAGACCTGAA